GGCACACCAGACTCGATTATACCCAGTAGGGTGTGCATGTCTGGGTCACTTGAAGTGGCAACGCGAACGCGATCCCACGTAACTGACTGGATGGCATTTAAGGAAGAAACTGCTGCAATCACAACAGTATCGTCTATCAGCGAAACTGTGTCAGAGGTACGGAGTCCATACATCAGCGAAGGGTTATGAGTGATGACAGGTAACAGAGACTGCACTGAAGCTATATCATCTGTGAGCTCCATCTTTTCCGGTTGGCCAGTCGGGTGTCGAGATAAACAGTCAGTTGCCCTATGTTTGACACCAGGGATATGGACCATCCGAAACTTATAGCGCAGTGTCTTTTCTTTCAGGTTTCGTAGACGTGGGTTGGAGATGTCCTCGATAGATCTATCACCAAGTACCTTGAGTAACGGCTTGTGGTCAACAGCAACGATCAATTGATTGCAGCCTAAGACAAAATACCTTGTCTTATCTAAGGCGTCTGCCACAGCTAGGGCCTCACCTTCGATTGGGGCATATCTTGACTCTGCGCTATGAGTAAAACGGCTTCCGACAAGGGTAATCTTCCAACCATCATTGCAGCAGAATGGTTTAGAAATGGGACAGGAACAGTGTTTCTGTAGCAGAAAGAAGCCAATTCCATCTTTCGACCAGTCTGTTGCCAAACACGTTGGTTTGTTAGGGTCGAATATTCGAACACCCTGTTCGATTTCACCAGCAATTACGCGTTTAGATTCTTCAAACAAGCCTTGTAGTTCTTCTGTCCAGCGAAATGGTACATTTGACTTTAACAGTTGTCGGAATGGCATCATCTTGTCGGCCATGCTGAATGCGAATGCAACTTGGTTGACAAGCCCAAACCACGAACGTATGTCCGTTATATTCTTCGGCGTTGGGAAGTCGAGGATTGCTCTAAGGAACTTCTTGCATGGACGGACGTTGTCTTTTGTTAACTCAAAACCTGCGAATTCAACTGTGTCCTCAGCAAAGACAAACTTCTTGGGGTTTAGGGTAATGCCGTTCTTGCCACATAACTCTAACCAACGAACTGCCTGAAAGAAACTTTCCTCTATGGAATCGGACCATAACAACACATCATCTACGCATTTAGTCTTGTTGGCGAAGTCTGAGACAAGTTCATCGTACCTTCGTGTGTATCCGTCACCGGATGCAATGTACCCCTGGGGTGCTGTCTTATATCTGTATCGTCCCCATGGGGTGATAAAGGTTGTCAGGTGACGGTCTTCCTCGCGTATGGGTACGCTGTGGTAACCGTTCCAAGCATCAAACACTGTTTTCTTTTTGCCATGTGGGACGGAACGGGCTTGGTAGAATGGTGATTGAGTATGATGAGTTTCACGTGTCGCGTGAGCATTGAGGGCCTGGAAGTCAACTGTCCTGCGAGGCTCGCCGTTTTTCTTTGCGCATATGACCATCCTGTGACACCATGTCACAGGTTCACCGATTGGGACTGGCTCAATAACGCCTAAACGGACATCTTGGTCTAATCCGGCCTTGACGGACTCGCGCCAGTGAATAGGGACAGGTATAGGTGTATGGTGGGCAATGGGTTCCGCAGTGTTGTCTACCATGAGTTTCATCGGGGGTGTGTCCATCAACGGCAGTGGTTGATGCTGGCATGTGTTGAAGGTACTAGCACTGTAGTGGTCTAAGAGGAAGGTTTTTAAACGCTGTAAATTCTCGGCCGTCCCAGGGAATGGCATTCTTGTGGGAGGGGGAGGGGGCATTTGACGTTTTGGACAGTCACATGGATGCGATTCCACTGGTGAGGAGTGGGGGTTCACAGTGATAGAATTAGCTGCGTATGCACCAACCGCGGGGAAGGCATCGGGAATAATACCTAGTGCTGAGCAGGCTTCTCTGCTGAGGAACAACCTGTCAGTGGTACCACATATGTAAGTCATCTGTCTAGTCTCGATTGGCTTGCCTGTATCGTTAGTGGCGCTCAAGCGGAGTATTGTAGCACCGATGATCTTGATTCCAACATTTGTGGCTGTATGCATGTGCATGGTCACCGGGATGAGGTCTGATTCACGTAGGCCTAACTTATAGATGACTCTCAGACCAGCTAGGCAGCTCTGACATCCTGTATCTGCCATGGCAGGTACAGTAGCTGAAATAGAGCATTTGTTTTTCAAATCAAAACCAAGGGCAGAGTAATCATCATGAGAAACTTTTGCAACAACATTAACAAATGGTTGAGAGGCTGATCGTTTCTTAACCCATGTGTCTGTGAGTTTATCATAAACATGTTGGTCAATGCGTAACGCACGCTCAACACCAGAATCACTTAACGTGCAATAATCGTCAAAGGCATTAACAACAGTATCATTGACAGTACATAGAGCATCAAATACAGCTGAACTCTTTGAGAGTTTGTTACTGTTTCTGGTGAGCTTAGGTTTATCTTTACTACGACAAACACTTTCAAGATGATGATTGCGATTACACAAGTTGCATACGTGTCCGTACGCTGGGCACTCATTTCGTCGAACACTAGATGGGGCGCCTTTTCCATGACCTCTGGTACCACAATATGTGCAAGTTTCTGTTTTGTACTTGGGTGTGGTTTGATTTTCATTTTTGGCCTTTCGATACGAGCTGCTTGCAGCTGCCACTGCATTGGAGTCCAAAAGTCTCGAAGCTGAGCGCTTCCCCGCCTCCTTCGCTTCCACGAACTTAAACACATCCTCCAGATTCATATCCTGGTTACTGTCACCTAGGAGGTCAAGTTGAATTTCTGGATCAGCGAGTCCTTTTGTAAGTACATCGCGAAGAATGGCGTCAGTATAATTGACGTCTGTATTACAGTTGGCACATTTTACATTAAACTTGCAAACACCTGCTTGACCTCGTATACGCGCACCAAAACTTCTCATGGTCTCATCACGATCCTGTTTCATGTTATGTAGGTTTACCCTGGCCACCATTGTATTCTCTTCGCGAACGGCCAGTGTTTTGATGGCTGTGAGCACCTGATCTGCAGTTAGTTCCGTTAGTGTGTTACCGTTTGTACGTGTTAAGTCCTTCCTGAGAGGTTCATCACAACATTCTAATAACTGAATCACTTTGGTGCGACCTTCCAGTTTAGTAGCGGCGACATAATCTTTCCAACGCGACAAGAAATAAGCCCAGTCCTCACTGGTACCAGCTAATGCGATGGTGGGCCGTCTGACTCTCTCAATTTTGGCGGATGGGCCTGGGGCGTGAACCATGGAATGAGCCGTTATCAGTGCAGCTACAATCGCTGCCTCAAGGTCTCCTGTCACGTATTCGCATCCTGGTATTGGGCAGTTTGCGACTGGCATTGTGATACTGTGTTCATATAAGAACGTGGTCTTTTTGTATGTCTTTATTTAGATCAACAATGAACACAGTCTGAAATACATAAATGAGAAATACTCAGATATTTACCAAACGATGTGTTGTTCCGATGATAAACATAATTAACATTGGACACGAGACAAAATAATAATTGACACAGTACATTAATGAACAATAAGTAAATGTAGTCAATGTAGTAACATAATAACTGAGTATCAATGATTACTTACAAATAATATGCCTTAAACAGGCTAATGCAAGTGTTTCCTCAAATGACTCCATTTGTATTACAAATGGCGAGTCTCCATCCAAGGGGAGTAACTCTAAAATGCCTCGACTATAAAGGGAAGTAACTATGTAATTATCATTGTCAATAAACAATAATCATGTAATAACACGTTAAAATGAGTTGGATAGATCCGAGAACTATACATGTAGACTTAAATATAACTTAACGCGAGGCAAGGCGGAATCGATCCACCGTATTGTGTGTGATGTGAGGAAAACTTTGTCTTATGTTAGTGGGGCCCATGGCCTTAGTAAGCCGATATTGGCTGATTAGTCAACTCTGACTAACTACCATGATTTTAATATTGAATGTTAACAACATCAATAACTAAAACGCAAAACTCGTTTCTTATCATATCTATTAGAACGACTGTATTGCATTACGATTAAAGTTCCTTTTGTCGGAGTAATGTTTGAGCTATGTGTCGATTTATTTAGGTTATTCGCTCTATAAATGTTATCTCCAATCGTTAAACTTATAAATTATTCTGACCAAAATACATCAAAAATATTAAATATAGAACATATATTACTCAGCGTCAACCTACAATGACAAACATAGCAATGTGTCTGTTTAGCTCTCTGATTTTGTAAAACTGCACGTAAGCACACAGTTTAATTTATTATAAAATGCGCTTTGCAAATAAACCTATAAATGCAAGGTGTTTTATTGTGTTTGAGCGATGTCATTTACTTATTTAATCAATAATAAAAGTATGCATGTGTTTTTTAACTTCTTTTAAAATATGTTTGTGACAATATTTTTACATATTTATTTGTGATATTGATTTTTTGACAACTGATAATATCTTAATGAGATATTATAGTAAGATATTAAAATCCTGTATTCGGATTGAAGTGTATGATGCCAGTTGGTAAAGTAAGTAGAGCCAGGGAGAACCAATCCGCTTCCTAGAAATAGAACAAAAACAAAAACGAACAAGTAGATTAGTTGCCAATGAATGCAATATAACTAGCAAAACATCCGTCATTAACCCATAATAACTTTTCCATATAATTTTCTCCTACATAACAATTAGGTGTTTAAGTGAAATAAAATAAACCTTAACTATATTTAGAGTCACTAACAAATTATTGTATAAATGATACTCCATAAGATTCGTATCAACTCGTTATTGCGTTCCACTTCCCTCTAGCATTACCGTGCTTGTTATATTTTTCTGGAATCCTCATTAAACACCTTATCGGTTTATCCATGGTGTGAAACTACAGTATTGAAAATAACTCCGTTCAGTATGACGCTCATAGGTCAAATATCCGGAGAGTTACTGGCCAAAACAAGAAACAACATTGATTTTACTAAAATGTATCAAAATCAGTGTTTATATTGCGATAAGGGATATATACATTTTATAAAACCACGTTTACCCGAGCTCGTGTGTGGTTTGTTTAGAGTGTGATAAGTGTAGTTGATCATGTTTCTAAGGCAATATGTAAATAACCCTGATATAAAAACGGATGTGTTGACAACTAAATCTAGCAGTTGCGGTTACGGTTCCATGTAACAGGTATGTAAAGTGATTTGATAAATCATTTGACGCAAACGATTGTCTTTTGTTAAACAAGATTTTGTGATTAATGATTTTCAAATATCAGGGTCCTAACAAATTGCCATCCAGCATCATAATGTTGAAATGTAGCTTATCTCGGGTTTTTAAATCTCTTCAGAAACAATAATTAGATACATAGATAAATATTAAAAATAAGTGAAAAATGAAACAGCCTAAATTTGTGTACGACCTGGATGCAATTAAATATTACGTTTATTTATTTAAACTGTATATCTTTCAGGCTAACATGAAGGGGATTGTCATTGTTTTCGTAGTCCTGATATCCGTTACATGTGAGTATACATTCACTTGTGTCAGTACTTTTTCTTTTTAGATTTGGTCAAAGGTAGAAAAAGTCGATCTTATTTATTTTGGAATGATTACAATGCACTTCAGCAGAAATAAACACTGCAGCAGATTTTGGACATCTGTGATCATGGAGTGGTAATTGAACTTGGTTGTTTAGTTAGCTTCATCTTCATAGCTTTCTCGAATTTCTAGTATCTTTTTTAAATTATATGGAATAAGTCCGTATTAACCTAGCGTTTTGGCAAAACAATAAAACCCAAACAACTTACATACTATTCTGGACAAATGTATTAATTGGAATTTGCTTTATGAGTCATGATACATGTACATCTTTTTTCAAATTCCATTCCTTGCTTTAAGTCACAATTATAACATAATATGAGACGGCAATTCATGAAAAAGCGTAGCTTTTGTTAATCTCTGATATTTACCTATTTATAAGAAAATAAGATAAGCTTTCTTTAAAGTCGGCAAATCAAGGAATAACAATAAAACATAGGCTCAAATGAGATGAAATGGAAGACCCGGGGTGAGTTCGGATCATTTTCATTAAATTTGTTCTCGTCAGCATGGCATTTACTATCGAAAAACAAGTCCGTGTTTGAAGAATTATTTAATTTTCCTGTCAGGAAATTGGATGGCCGAACGAGCCCCGCCTTCGAGTAAATTCGCACAGGCAATCGGATAAGTTCAACCAACGTTGGAATGAGTTTAATTATGGCGTCATAAAGCATGCAACGTCAGATGATCCTGCCAATTTTACGACCTTTTAGGTGTTAATAGCCCGAACTTGCCCGGGCCCAATTTGATCTTTCTTGTTATTGCCTAATCAAATTAACTGCTAAGATCCCCCATTTGTAAATATTAGCTCCTGTATGTAGAATTATTTTATCATCGGTGATTGGTTAACATGTATTCACAATGTTATTTTGAATCAATGACGCCAATGATTGAGAAAAAACTGTTCGGTAATTCCTATTAAATAAATAAAGTTTATATTATATATTTGACGATATATCCATGTAAATGTAAAAAGATATAAGTTTAAAAACAAATTGGAATAATTAAACTAATTGGAATAAAGAGAACGTTATAATTCTTTAACAAGACATTAAAAATGTGAATAATTTTAGCTGTGAAAAAAGATGAACACTTAGACAAATTATCAAACTGAAGTCTTTTTTTGAAGATATCTCCCGGTAGAAATATTAGCATAAGCTGATTGATGACAAAAGAAATTCTTCACCAAATATCCGCATTTCCACTTTTTAAGCCTGCAGCAACAACAGACATAAACAAGTCATGAAGCACCGGTATTTTTTTCTAAATGTGCATACACTAAAAATAAAAAGGGAATTTTTGTCGCCTTCATAATATCGGGAGACACTTTAGTTCAGATATATTATTATCGACATTTTTAGGAATTTGCTACTATATTTACAAAGCGACATAACGAGTCTATAGTATTAGTCGTAAAAATGTGTTGGTGACTTGGGATTAGGAAAGAGTAGATATCAACTGTCACTCTCGATCCAAACTGTCGGCAGAAGTAATAAATTGATAGTCTGGTTAAAATACGTTTCCGTTTACGATGATTATATACCATTGATATATTCTATGAATATTCATTATATCAATTGGAAAAATATAACTAATTTCTTTTATCTGACAGTAAACATAATTTACGATACAATGTTTCTTTTTCTTTATATAAAGGTTGTCAATTCACAATATACGCGTAGATAAAGCGGAATAATGAAATATTCGTATAGTAAGAGTGTTTTATTATAGGATTCCTGGGTCTAAAGAAGAATGTGTTTTGTCAATTTGTAGCTCATTTGACCGATTTTGGACCCATCCTTCGAGTCCTTATAATTCTGCTATTCCAATAATGATCAATTGGATTGAAAATCCGACTTAAAGTCTATATTAAGTTCTCTCCATAATACAGTAAAAAAAAAATCAAATGACATCCGGTAATTGATAGAAACGGAAAGTATGTAATAAACAGTAAGATCATGTTTGTCATATATTTTAACAGTTTACCTCATTAACTTCTAATATTAGATTATACATTTTGTAATGCTATAAAGTCCAATACATGTTGCTATATACAAATGCCGGTGATGAATAAGTGCCAAATCAACCTCTGACTTTACGACATTAAAGTCCATGGGTTCATTACCGTATAGTCTTCTACTCAACAGTTGATTACAGACGAAGATACCAGCAGCAGATGTAGGAATTAGATAGTGCGAAAATATTACGCTGATAACAAGGCATTGGCAATAGTATTAATCCTCTCACGTATCAGGCAGGTTGTGGTATCAATCAGAGGAATACCAAGTAATTTATATTAAACCCTGAATGGACGTTTATTTTTTACATTAATAAATAACCACGTATGACTATCTGATGGAGTGAGCAATGTGACGAAACGTTTAATAACAAAATGTACAGGTTATGCGATATCTTCCAAAATCACATTTGCAAATGTATATCATTGGACGTGTGCATATATATGGTTATTAAGACATAATCGGCCTGTTAACTAGTGAATTCGCCCATGTAATATGTTTACATATGTCACTAGTGTAATATACCCTGGAGCGTTTTTCATTGGCTGTGCCAGTCAGAAATCGATAGTGATGTCCTAATATGGACAATGACGTGACGTCATCAATTGTGAAAGGCGCAACACAATGGCTGTCTCCGTTTAATTAAGCCCTCTACATTTTGGCTTTAAAACCTGTCAAAATGTAAATTTTCTGATAAAAAAGTATCTTAAAATTGTTTTCATTTCATATGAGCTGTTAAGAAACTCGTCTCGAAATTTTATGTTTTGCTCGCCATGGCTCGCAAAAATAAAAACTCCTAAGAGTCGTTTCATGAAAGCTCATATGAAATGAAAACTCATTTAAGATCCTAAATATATTGCATGTAACGGCACTATGTCATATAACGTACCTCTTGTACTTGACGTCCTTAATGGAATTCAAGAGTTTGTCATCTTTAAAGAAGAATAATGAATGGTGCTATTATGGATATAGAAAGTAGGACAACTCACAATTCAATCTGAAAAGGTAGGTAGAAAACAGAAAAAATAAATATATTACAGTTGGTGCAGAAGAAAGTTTGGCCTCTTTTATGTCTCCGAGTAGACGGCACAAAATCAATTCCCCAATTATGTTACATTCTGTAGTTGGCTCTAACAACATGAAGTGGGACACAGCAGGTGTATTCTTTTTACGATCCCTGACATATGGAGGAGACGTACAATGAAGTGTTACTACACGTGTGGCTACAAGTGTTATTTAGAGAAAATAACTTGCTTTGAAATTATCATGCATCGATTGCATTGTCTGTGATTTCAATATTTATGTTAAAAATAATGAAAACAAATAAAGGAGTTTTCCATCGTCATGGTGATCGGTTGTGTTAATACTTGATTCGTCGTGCGAAAATACTTAGGCATAAAATTAGAAACTTTGGAATTTTCAGACGGAACCAAATTCTGCGAAGTGACAAAGAAAGAAAATGATACGTGTGGAAAGAACGGCAAGTGTACTATCCCGATCTGTGTAGCAACAACAACAGTAGCACCAGCGACAACACCAACAACAAAAGCAACAACACCATCGCAAGCAAAATCAACATCAACAACATCAACAAAAGCAACAACAACAACAACAACACCAATAACAGGTGTGTATAACTTTAAATGTTTACTTTAGTTGTTACCAGTACCCATTTTCAATATAATGTCGTTCCAGCTGTGTTATCTGTGCAATGAGTTTATATATACATGTAAGTTCAGAAAAACGTAGGTCTGTAAATATTAGCGCTTTTATAATCAATCTGTAGACGCTTTCCACATAGATACGAATTATGACGTCATTTATAAAGGGTATAACTTATGAATAAACCTACATTGAATAGTCTATTTTAATGATTAAACCAAAATTAAATAGACTATTTTAATGGAAAAAACGCAATAGTAGACTATTTAATGATATCTATCTCCCTCTCATTATGACGTCACACACACCTTATATATTTTTTTTATTGAAGTCATAACTTGTATCTATGTGTAGGTTTGTGAAAAGAGTCTGAAGATCGATAATGAAAGCGTTATTGTTATAAAGATATTTTTTCATTACTTTTTACATATAATATATAGATAAATACAGGGCATGGAGGTCATTCTAACAGTGTAGACAATATGAGGTTGTCAATCTTCGGAGTCATTCGCTGCTGTATCGAGAAACTAAAAACCACAGCACAATTACATCACATTAAAAAAACAAAAAATGAAACATAATGGGACATACTTAATATTTGAAAACAATACTTCTACTTGGCAGTATGTGAGACTGACAGACGCTGTCAGATAAAGTGGACGAAATGTCTGTTTCTCTGTGTGTCAATACGTGTCTTACATCAATACCTATTGTACTTACTCTCGTTAAATTTTGAATATACACATTTGTACCTGTACATACCATGTACAATAATGTATGCACCTTAAATTACCTATCAAAATAATTCGAGAGTGTTTTACATTATATCCTATTCAACATCATTGGACGAATCGTCGTCCCCCCCCCCCCCCCCCCCCCCCCAGATTTCTTCACGATTTCTTTCCAGGTATATTTTAATTTTCTTTTCATTTTTCGCACACAAACAGTATCCTTGGAGATCAATGCGGTCATTGTAAACTCTGCCTTCGGTTGACGCTAGCCGAGGGGCTTATTGTTATCAAATATAAGTTGTATCCAATTATATTTCCCTTTTTTCATTTAATGTAAGTGGTTGTGTCTTGATAAAGCATCTGAGTGCTCCAAAAAGATTGGTAACTTCATATTGTCTACATTATTGGAACTACTCCTTTGCCCCACATACCAATTTAAGGTAATTGGTATCCTACAAACAAACTTGTGTAAGGATCCAGTGTTATAAGGGTATGTATCACTTCCCTGACCCATGTGTGGATGGGTAGGTGGGTGCGTGCGTGGGTGTTCCTGTTTGATAATATTGTATCAATATACAGATTGATTCAACACAATCATGGTTATAAAGAAAAAAAGAAGTATAGTTTAAATATACCATATATCGCCCTTTTTAGTTTAATTTGAAATATGATAGTGAACTGAGAAATTTTATTTAATTATAATCTAATTAACACAAAGAAGAGGACATATGCATTAACTACGAATTTGATATCGGCAAATGTACTTGTACAATGAACAGTACGTTTTGCTTACTTTGTACAGTTCCAGTTAGTGGTCGCAAACGCAGAGCAGCAACAGGTAAGACATTCTAAAATTAGTTATACATCATATAAAGACCGTTTAAAAACGTATCCTACACGAATGGTCATTTATATTTTTATGTTGCTTTTTATTACGATCGACATTATTGTTTTAACAAAATATGTATAAATATTTAAATAAGTTGATGACGAAATGGAATTTTCACAGTATATTATCCTAGAATAATAGAAATTGGTTAACATAGAATGCATTAACATGTAACTCATTGTGTCTCTCGAACTGTAATTTCAATCAAGAAACAATACGGATGATATCTCTCGTATTAGCATCATATCTATTTTGATTTTGAATAGACTGACATGGAACAGAAATGGATCGCATCTTCATTTGTATAACATAAAGAAAATGTCCAATTGTTGTTTCAAAAATAAGAACAAAATTGCTGTAAAAGATCCTGTAAAGTACTCAATAAATCGACGTAAACAACTGCATGAAAAAAAACCAGTGAGATAATTAAGACTATTTATTTATAAAACGACAGGAACAGATAAGATGCTTGTATATACTTTTATTACTCAAATGTATTTGTCGTCTTTAAAATACAGATATTGACATTGATGAATATTATGAATTTGTGATAGCTTAATTATAGTACAAACCCAGGACCGTTTCACTTTACCAGAAATTCGTTGAATTAGCGTAAACATTGACGAGGCAAACGGTCTAGGGCCTATCGCAAATATTAGTTAAGAGTTAACAATGAATCTGTTAGAATGGTTTCATCAAACAATTAAATATGACTGTCTTAACACGTCAAAAATGTGTTAATTTCAAATGTTTACCACGAGCTCTGTAGCATGAAGGCAGTGCATTCCTAAAGTTCCCTCTTTCTACTGTCAGATAAAGTTAATATTTAAAAATTACTTCAAAGCTGCACTAGAAGAAGGAAGATTCTTATTTCTTGATCATGATATTTTCTTGTCCTGATAGTAACGTTGCTGTTCTCAGACCCATAGTGTGTACATGTAGCAGCTGACTCGGTATATCAGAGTTTGCTCTTAATATCGTGATTTCTGTGATAAATGCCGACTACCGACAAGCTAACGAAATATATATGTTGATGACAATAGTTGACAAGTTTGATGGTACAACCACAACTATTTTTAGTTTTCATTGTGTTTCGTATTCACTGCCTCGGTTCCCTGTTTAAGGATGTGAAATCTCTCGAATTTGACGTTGCGGTTGCCGTCAATGAAGTATAAAAAGCGTACTCTTCCGAAATACCTTATCCTTATTGTTTTCTTTTCTTTTTTCATAAATTTGCCCAATCACATTATTTTGAGTTCGAAGTACTGTTTTCATCACATTTCGGAATACCCTTGTTGTTCGTTTAACTCGGCAGATATAAATCCTATTTGGAGTCGTGCTAGATTAAGGTGCCCTTAGTAGTACTTTGCCAGAAACATAAAAAGGCATGATCACATAATATGCAACAATTAAACTGTAGCTATTCAAAATATCGCGCGTTAGAAAGCAAATCATCAGTGAGTTTTGTGGTTTGTTTTACAGCTCCACCAGCCATAGAAAAATGCAAATCAACATGTAACAGTCCTGGCGTCTGCAAATACCAATGTACAGGTAAAACATGTGTTTAACCATATTTCATGGAAAAGATAGTTCTATTGAAAATTATGAGAATTTTAATTCATTTTGTAAATTGCATAAACGTTTGACTTTTTCATATCTTTAAAGGTTTTCTCATCGAAAAGACATTGATGCGAATTAACCACTTAATATAATTGATTTGGTACAGGTGAAAGTGGATCAATTAAGCATGGACTTTCTCCTCTGATCCTGCTAGTCGGAGTCTTTACCAAACTGTTTCTGGTCGGATAACTTGAATAAAGGCGTTCTGCAAGTTGTTCTTCTGATTATATCGTGTCACAGGTAGCATGACGGATAACAACTATGTAGCAACAAACGTCTTTTTCGCAAGCATTGACTCTCATCAAGACGGGCTGCAACAGGAATCCAGACCAGAACCCTTAACAAAACTGTGCTTGGAATTTAGTTTGTTCTTAAACCTAGTGCATTTTAAAACATTTATAAATTAGTTTGACAAAAATAAGGTAGATCAATGATACTTTAAGTTCACTCTGGCAAAATGAAATAATAACTAAAAATAGAGATAAAAATAGTAATATAATTAAATAAAATAAAAGCATAAAATTAACCTTTATGTGAAAATAACCAAGGGATAAACATGAATGTAAATCAGCGCGGGAGACGGAGACATTAGAAATTCGAAATAAGGCTTTCTTTTTTTTCTTTTTGGAGAATGATACCAAGACCCTAACAAATATTTTCTTACTTAAATCCCATTTGATAATCAAAGATCATGAATTAGTGAAAACAATTGCAATTTATATTATAATTAAACATATCATAATGCAAATGTATTTTATGTGTGTGGTTGTACTAGAAAACATTAGCGAAATGTTTATTGTTGAATTGTTTTGCAGTTGTGCAAGAAATGTATTAAAAATAACATATTCTGCATTTGTTATGTACAATATTTTAGCAAATACATTAAACATTAACCTGCAGTGTTTGATTATTGTGCCTAAATAAAACTTAATTCTCTGATAATATGTGTATGATACACAGGATTATCTTTAATGAGACTCTTGTACAAACCTATCTTCAGAGATTTGTAGATTGATGAACACATGGACAAGTTGTGTATGTATGCTTGCCATCAAGATCTGACTGGAAGTTATTATATTTCCTTGTAAATATATAAATGTCGGTGTTTTAGTTGTCACTACTAAGGTTCTGACTTTGAGGAGGCTATTATAACTCTTGTAATTTTTCGTAGATCCATGTAAATCTTTAACTTTATTTTTACTTTCTTTCCAAGGTATGTAAATATTTCTAAGGTCACATGCAGAACGATATAAATTGAGCTATGAATTAATTAATTGCAGTGAATATTAAACTATCATATAGATTGTACCTTTAAATTGCGAATACACGTTTTTCGTATATACAATACCATATTTGGTTTCCTTCATTTTAATTATATTTTCAATAAAGTCCTGCATGTGAAAGCAATTTTTTCTTAAATGACTAATCAAAGCTAAAGTCATACCCGCAATAGGTTTTCAATATATATTTTTCGTTTTGTAAAGTGTTACATGGATTTTTAACGGATCTGAGCTGCATTTTGTGCAAGAGTTACTCCCCTAAAGTTTAATCGCATTCATCAGGCTGCGCACTCGTGTAAACATACCACAAATCTGCCATTCTCGTCAAATATATTTTATAGTAAGCGGGAAACCATTAACGGACCTCTTTTTAATACATATTATAGCATCCAATAAATCACCATTTTCATTTTTTTCTTATCATATATGTCATATTTATGCTAGGAAACGGTGCAATTAGTTGGAAGCAGCATGCTTTTCTACTCAACGAAAAACCAAACACCAGTGTTTATCAATTGAAAAAACACGCTATCGTACTGCAACCCGCGTTTACTCAGTACATGTATCAGATCGTGTTTTAGCGATTTACCTAATATGACGATCGCGATGAAAATGGTAAATAACAACGAAAGCTATTAGATTTTCATGTATAGATGTCATCTTATACAAAATATCATCCCATAGACTACTTAACGGTTAACAACGTTATACTTGCATTCACACAGAAGTTGTAAAGGACGATGGATAAAATATGAAATTTACAAATCGAACTTCATTGAACATCAAAGTGACTCTATGCGGCTATTTTTAGCACAGCTTGCAAAGTTGCGTAACCCAATGCAATATTTCACTCACATCGTACACAGTTATAATATAAACATATCATTGTCATTCCAATACAAGTTTATTTCATCAGTTATATTTAATGCCCAAAGATGTTTCGTTTAATTCCGGAACGCAATAATATGGCACCAGCGGCTCGCAGTTTTGGAACCCTCCTGTGTTTTTGTAGACTCCACGGCAAAGGTAACTAGGCATAGTGTCTACAAAATCACAAACACACGAATTATTTTTTTAATTTTGGTTTTCACTTCAATCATGTGAGGTATGGATAAGGTCATTCAAACCCAAGGGATAACATATTGAGCAGGAGACCCGAGGCTTTGCCGAGGGTTTCTGGTCAATATTTCATACCGAGGGTTTGAGTTACCTTATCCATATCTCACATCAGGTATGGATTATATTTCTTATTTATTACCTAAAACCCGTAAAACAGCTGCTCTTCTAGTAAAATTGTAAACTGTCCACACATTTCTCATTCGCATATGAAGCCCGGATGGTAATTGTTAATGACGTCAATGATCCTGACTGACCCCAAAACGTCATAAAATGACGTCACGAACAATAGCATGACCCCGAAAGGTCACTATAATTCCCCCGTCAGTCTGCACGTGTAAGCGATCCAGACCCGTTGGCCGGATAGAATTTTCCAGCACCGCTGGAAATGCAAATATATCGGCCTCTCGATACCCCTTCACTGTTTGACAGATTCAACGCTGGAGAGAGATATGACATTGTTGAATTGTCGACAGAAGGAAAGTTTGTGCTGTGGTCGGTAGAATAGAAATCTTCTCAGACCTCGGCGTTATAAATTGCATCTGTATCTATTCGAGTGTGTGTATATGACCACCCTTAATTTTCGTCGTCACCGGCTAAAAATAGCGACCGACGAGAGTATCTACAGGTAAAATGTGTGTGTGACACTGGTGCAAGTAAATGTACGCGTAAGAACAAGGTGATGCATTGTCTAACCCTTAGATCAGTCATATGTATGCTTTTGGATACGGATGAAAGTCCTTTTTGCAGCACTTTTAATATGTCAGGTCAAAGTCTTGGCATTTATTGAAATTAAATGCTATGTGATGTATTGCAATACAAAATTCAATGTTAATGTCACTTAGCGTTCCATCCAGGTATAAATCCATTACTATGAATAAAAACGTGTGTACATTTACCACACATTTTTTCAATGCAGTCATTGATGTAATGTAATCAATTCGTTAACAAGATTAACGGATCTAAACAGTTGATAACGAGTAAACAATGAAATAATCCGCTCATATGACAGATATGTTATGTTGTTAGGGTCAAAACCGACGTCTCATTTAGTTGCTATCACAGTCTATCACATTAAATAGCTTTGGCTTTTGTATGGGTATTTAACGTTTAAAGTTTTAAAATCATTGGGTACTGCTGCCAAGACATGCAACACATGTCATTACAAACATTGTTAGCATTATATGTATTAAAACATTTTTGGTCTCTGTGGAGTATAACATATAGATATGCACTAGAGATGATTTGGACTTAAAAGGCGACGTCGAACTAGGACAGATTTTGATCTAGCATTCCCTGCTACCACATTATATATGTTTGACCGGTTAAGCTGTTCGTACAAGCTTTGTCGAATATGCCTTATTCGACGTTTGTAATACCGTGAAAGTTGTATATAACATGTTAACTGAAACGACTTTTGTTTCAATTTTGGCCTCTGATCATTTACCTGTTTTATCTGTCGGCCTCAGAAATGTACACTATTATCATCACGTACGACTTAACATGTCAAGTACGAGCGGGAACACTCTAATAGTTATGAAGAAAGTGGGAATGATGAATGATTTATACAGTCAGGATAGAGGATACTATCATTTTTACCCAAAATAAAATACATAGCCATCGTTGTTTTTACACAGGAAGTTTTCAGCTGTTCTGGACTTAACAGGTTAACGGATCTCATGACGGGCGTTGCATACACAGTAGCTTGAGTGACATATACTGTATATACAGTTACATCAAATATATACAGTTAATTTGATGTAAACAATGTATATGATGCGTATTTAATTTATAAAGGTTTAGCAAGGAACGCTAAAAAGACCGTCATTGGACTCAAATCACCTCTACAATCATAAATTGTTAGACATAAGTCGAGGTAATTAAATCTGTTAATTTGCTGTTTCAAACGATTTTGTTGGATTTAACCTGTTGCAACCATGACGAGATCGTGGAACTACGCGGAACGACGAACAACTCAAAATCCTGAAACAGATCATCAGCCAAGGGTGGCCAGAGGCCAGAGGTGACGTACCGCTAGAGGCGTTACCATACTGGGCTTACCGAGGCGAATTGTCGACCTACGACGGAGTCGTGTATCGCGGCATCATAGATACACTCATCAGTGATAACGGTCCACAGTTTACTAGCGCCGAATTTCGAGAATTCTAAATACGGCATCAACCACGTGACGGCATCACCTCTACATCAACAATCCAATGCCCTTGACGAGAAGGCTGCACAGACAGAAAAACGTTATACGAAAATGTGCAGAAAGTGGAGACGACGTATACATTTGTACCTACGTTTGTTGGAGCTTAGGAACACCCGACGTGACAGGGATATCGGATCGCCCCTGCAGCGATTAATGGGTAGACGAGGGAAAACTCTTCTGCCAATGACTAACAACCTGCTATTTCCGATCCCGAGAAAGTATCTTCGAAACTGTTTAACCACTGACATAGGCAGAAACACTATTTCGATAGAGGCACTAAAGCGAAAGAGGAAATTTAACCAACTGACGCGATACGTATACGAACCGAAACTGGATGGAAACCTGCTGAACTCGTGCGGAAAACGAATTACCCCCGATCATACGTCGTAAAGGCCGGGGATAGCGCGCGTGAATAGCGACGCAATAACAAAATGTTGATGAAGACCAAAGAGGAGCCGCATGTTATCGAAGCTAAGAAACATTCGAATTACGTACCATAGTAGCATTATAACTATTTACTAGTGTGATACCTAATAGTGGAACTCTCTAATGTGGAGATAATAAAGGAATTCGTGCTTTGACCTCATGGCGACCAGTCTCAGTTTATTACACTCAGAGGCACTGTATTCGACTATAACACTTTTTAGGTAGGGATTACAATCGTATGAAACACTTGCTGATTGACTGATTTAATTGTGTGAGTCCATAAGGGTCTGAACTACTTTTTGTGCAATAGTTACTCCCATAAAGCTTACTCGCATTCATCAGGCTGCGCACTCGTGAACATATATATATATACCATAAATCCACCATACTCGTGAAATGTATCTGATATTAAAAGAGAAACCATTAACCTCTTTTTATCACACACTCTTGTGTCCATTAACCACTATTTTCATTTTTTTCTTATTATATATGTTATTTTGTTTGCTTAAAACAGTTCAAGTCAATCCGTGTATTATATAAGAAGCGGGTTTATAGTTGTATCAAGCGATACTGTTATGATTAAGAAATATCAAATTACTGATACATGTATATATATGAACAATCCAATATAGCCTAGCCATAAATTGGCAAATAATAACGGAACATTGTCACAGTAGTATTTAATCCCTATAAATTGGTATAAAGAACTGATACCATACATCCGAAATTCGTATAGATACACCGAAGTTTTGATATACAAAAGTTAGCTGACATATTACCAATAATTGTAATTCTTGATACAAAAAAATATATTCATTTTTGACATCAAATCATGATATCTTTATAAAGGAAGGAAACTATCTTTTATCAAGAAATAGATGTTTTATTGTAAGAAAAAATGTATACATAAAATATATAATAAAATAAGTGAGATGTAAGAGACAACTAATGTGGGAACCCCATCGAGAAAAGTGACATTTGGAGAGAAAAATGACTAACACATTTCTGTTAAATCAGACCCGCGCAATCGTAAGGTGGCAAATTCACAAACATACCATCTCTAGTACACACATATATGGAGGCAAGTTCTTATAGGACAGGTATTAATGGGACGTTCAACAA